AAAAAACTAAAAATAGGGCCTGGAGTCAGCTATATTGACTCAGGCCTTTAATTCCAACATTCAATAAGCAGAGCCAGGTGGATTTCTGGAAGTTTCAGGCTAGCCAGGGTCATATATAGTGATACCCCATTTCAAAAAAAGGGGTAGTAGCAAGGAGAGACCGCTCAGGGGTTTAGGACACTGTTTCAGAGGACTGCCATTCCACACCCAGCACAAGCATGGTGGTTCACAAGAGAGAAAAAAAAAAAAAAAAAAAAAAAAAAAAGCATGGTGGTTCACAAGCATCTATTACTCCAGTTCCAGGAGGTCACATCCCCTGGCCTAACCACTAAGGACAAAGTACACTAAGTACACAGACAAAACACCCACACAAATAAGAAATACATGGCGCACACCTTTAATCTCAGCACTCAGGAAACAGAGGCAGGCAGATCACTGTGAGTTCATGGCCAGTCTGGTCTACAGAGTTTGTTCCAGAACAGCCAGAGCTGTTACGCAGAGAAACCCTGTCTCGGAAAAAAAAAAAAAAAAAAAAAAAAAAAAAAAAAAAAAAAAAAATCAAGGAAGGAAGGAGAAAGAGAAGCTGACAAATGGCTTAGCAGGTAAAGGGACTAACTTCCAAGCTTGATGACCTGATTTCAATCCTTGGGACTCACATGGCAGAAGGAAAGGACTAGCTCACAAGTTGTCGTCTGACTTCTTCATGCATGCTGTGGCACACATGCATTAACTAAGTAAGTACATAAAATGCACTGCTTGTGGTGCACACCTTTGACTCCAGCACTCAGAAGGCATTAGCAGGCAGATTTCTGAGTTCACGCCTAGCCCTGTCTCCATAACAAGTCACACGCTAGCAAGGGCTATGGATTGAGTCCCTGTCTCAAAAAAGGTAGGAGAGTGGTGCAACCGTGAACTGGCTCAGTGGGGAACGGTGCCTGTTGCCAAGTCTGACAACCCGTTTGATTTAAAGGGCCTATGTAGTGGAAAGAGAAACTGATTCCTGCAATTTTCCTTTGGCTTCCCTGTGAACACCATGGCAGATATGTGTCCATACACATGGATACACGCATTAAATAAACACATAAATGTAACTGAAGACGTGAAATAAGCCGGGCGTTGGTGGCGCACGCCTTTAGTCCCAGCACTCGGGAGGCAGAGGCAGGCAGATCTCTGTGAGTTCGAGACCAGCCTGGTCTACAAGAGCTAGTTCCAGGACAGCCTCCAAAGCCACAGAGAAAACCTGTCTCGGGAAAAAAAAACAAAAAGCAAAAAAAAGTGAAATAAGGGTATGGAGAGATGACTCAGTTATTAAATTACAAGTACTTCCTTCTCTTCCACGGGGCCCCAGTTTGATTCCCATGCACCCCTGTCAGGCGACGCACAACTGTCTAAAGCTCTGGTTCTGGGGTAACCTAATGCCACTGGCCTTCATTGGTGCCTACACTCACATGCGTTTATCCACATATGGATACATACATAAACACATAGGTTAAAAATAAAAATAAATATTTTAAAGGAAGAAAAAAGAGTTGCTTAAAAATAGATAACTTAGGTCTGGGGAGATGGCTCGGTGGTTTAGAGCACTGGCTGCCCTTCCCGAGGGCAGGTTTGAATAATAAAATAATATTTTAATTACAAAGAAATCGAAAGGCTAGCTCCATGGCGGTACCTTTATTAGCATGGTGTGTTCATCTCCTGCTTCTGCATCTGGCTGGCTACTCTGTGACTCCACCCTTCCTCATCCCAACATTCTCAGTTTGACTTTCCCTGCCCCAACTTTATCCTGTTCAGCTATTGGCCAGTCAGCTTGCTTATTAAACCAATCACAGAAACATATATTCATGCAGTGTACAGGATTATTCCAGAGCACTAGGGCTCCCTCTGATTGGGTGTCTTGGCCAGCTCTGAACCACTCAGTGCAGCCAGGACCAAGTCTAATATTCTACCCCAGACTGGCCGAAGAGTTATCTGAGGAACATTCTCCAGGAGGAAAAGGAAACACTCTATTTCGGGCACTTATCACCAAAAGGATGGAGGATGCAAGTGTCTTGTGACCAGCTGGCTCCCGTTGTTACTATGGGAGCAGCTTTAATGGAGAGCCTCTGGGCATGCATGCTCCAAGCTGGGTCCTTTGCTTATGCTAAGAACATCGTGGGAGCCACACCAGACACCAGCTGGCAGCCTTCGCTCCAGGTCATGCACTTATAGGCCATTCACCCAGCCAGCGTATGAGAACTGTGAGCCAGATGGCCTTAAACCCTTTCAGCTATTTCCCAAGTTAGCCATCCATAACTCCTACAAGCTCAAAGTTACAGTATCCAGAGAGGAAGGTCTCAGGTGACAGCCTTCCACCCTTCCGTGGGTGGCCGTATCCTTGTGATGAGAACAAGCTGGCCATGGTGCAAAAATTGAAGTACACTTGTATCAGTGCTCAGCTTCTGAGTATGTTTGCCAGAGAAGGCCAGGCCCGTGAGACCACACAGACTAAGAGAAGCCCCAAATAAGGCTGGTCACAGGGCTTCTGTCTCCAAAAATCACTTTCCAACAAGAGGGGTCCACAGAGAAGTCAGAAGCCTGAGGCAGGCAGGGATGACCCATTTCTAAAATAGGGACATTGACAATCCAGACAGAGCTGGGTTGGCCCCAGGAGGGCACTGTGCACGTGCACCATCTGCAGTGAGCTGACAATGGGGCAAGTAAGTGCCATGCTGGTCCCTGAGAGCAGCCCAGGACCTGTAACTCAGGGGAGGCTAGCACCAGATGAGCCTTTTGGGGTCTCAGCTGTCTCTGGGGAGGCCTAGGATCTCCTCTCCAGAAAAAGGACCAGGTCCTTGGAATGAGAAATTAGCTGTCCCCAGGGGGTGGCATGGAAGCGACACTAACTCCACCTTGACTAAGGTTCCTCCAAGAGAGAGGGAGGCACCTGCTCCCCTGAGCAGGGCCCATTCAAAGGGCTCTTTCCTAGATGTAACAAATCTTGTGAGCCCCTGCAGCCCTGTGCCCACCAGAGGGCGCCCGTTGTTCACGAATCTTCCAGTCCTTTCCTAGGCATTGGCGATGTCAGCAGCAGGATCTTGGTGACCGTGAACCATTTGGAAAGGTCCCAGGCAGTGGTTGTGTGCTAGGCTCGGGACCAGGGGAAAGTGTACTTCCTGAAGAGTGCAGTTCCCAGGACTAATCTCTAGAGAAATAAGGACTTACCTGATAGAATAGGACGCAGGCTTAGTGTACATCGGGCTGTCTCAGAGAACTAGCAAGCCAGCAAGGCTTGGTGCAAGCCTCCAACTATTGTCCTCGTCTTCCAGAAGACAAGATTGATGCCCCAGCAAGACTCACTCAGTGGCTACCTATTAACATGGCTGTCAGGCCAGTATTTTCTACATGTTGGCTGCAGCCTCAGGGAACAGGTTTAGCTGCTGCCAGCTAGCTCCATGCACAGCTGTTACATGCGGATCTCACTGCTTTAGAGACCTTCCCTTTCTGGACTCCGGGTCTGGGAACATCACAAGAATGACCAACTGTCCTAGGGTGAGTTTGGGTTTCTTTCCTGGAAAAAAACAGCCTACAGATGAGTGGGTACACAGGGATCCACCAAAGCCCCAGTCCCTGATCTGGATATATTCATGCTGAATGGTGCTAAATGTAGCTGTTCCAGCTACAGCAAAGTCCTGTTGGCCTCAAGGTGAAAAGACAGCTGTGTGTGCACTTGGGGTGGAAGAGGAGACTGCACTCGCACTACCGGGGCAGGTGCTGGGGCTCTCTCCTGCTGCCGTGTGTACCCATCTCTCCCTGCATCACCCTTAGCCCTAACCACTCCTTATATCCGTCTTTCCCTCTGTGCACTGCTTCCTCACGTCTGAATTTCCTTGTCACCCTCAGTTTCTTTTGCATTTATTGGGGTCCAGGGTTCAAGTCACTAAAGAATTTTGTTTTTTGAGACAGGGTTTCTCTGTTTAACAGTTCTGGAACTTGCTTTTGTTAAGTCAGGTTTACCTCCTAGTCCTGGGATTAAAGGAGTGACCCACCACACCCAGCCAGGAATTTTAACCCAGCCAGGAATTTTAAATGAATGCCCTGGCTTGCTATTTATTTGCTCCAGATCAGATGACTCCTTAAAGCAAATGGAGAGGTCCTCTGAAAATCAACTACAAATTAGGGTATCAAATACAGGACCCACAATGCTTCCCATTGGAAGCAGGATTCCAGGAGTTGAGGTGTTACCTTGGGGAGGGGGGGCAGTGATCTGAGCCCAGACTTCTCAGCAAGCTATGTAAAATCTCAAATGCTGTGGCCAATGTTCTCCCTTAAGGGTGGAGTCAGTATCCATTCCCTCAGTCACCCACTACAAACTAGAAAGGCTCATCTCCCATAGACTCACAGCCCAGCCTTTAACCACCTGAGCTGAGGTGTTCCACATTCTAGTTGTTGGGCTCCAACTCAACCTGGCAAAGCACCCCCTACAGGCTGCTCTTCTCACCCAAGTCTGAAAAAAAATCGTCCAGCCTCTTCAATGGATATGTTCCTTCAAGGGCAAGATCAAACCAAACAACCAGTCCCATAACATAAAATGCTTTAGGACCTAAAGGCTCAGCTAGCAAGTACCATAAGCCACCACTAGGGGGAAACCACTAAAGAGTACTTACTATAAGCCCAGAACTTGGCAGAGCCAAGCACATTTCTCCAGTGTACATCTGGCACCCAGTAATTACCAGGAAGAGATGCTGGTACCATCAGCAGGACTGACCCAATAACACCTCCCCAATGCCCTGTGGTCAACTTTATCCAGATACCCCACCATGTCAGAATGCAGGGTTAACATTTAACCTACTCTATACTGCTTAACCCCAACTCCAATACCACTCTCTCCCCAGAAAATACATGGTTGTGGTGGTATACAACTCAGGTAGTGTAAATCACTCAGGAGGTTCAGGGGATGAAGAGATGAAGAACTAGGTACACAGGGAAAAAATGAGGCTCGAGACACTGTTTTGTTGTTGTTGTTTTAAAGGTTTTTTTTTTTTTCTCCTTTGAGATTATAATGAACATGGTCACACCACAAGTAAGGTCAGAAGTAGGACAGAAAACGCTCTGAAGGCTGGTTTGGTCACCCGTTATCATTAAAAATGGCTGACCCCCCTAACAATATGTACAAAAATATAAAATGTAAATAAAAAATACAAACAAATTTTCCTTTTAAAGTATTTTTAAGAAAAAAAGCAGGGCCTTGGAAGTTTTGGTTCTTTTTCCCTCCCCTGTTGCAAATTCATGGTGTGGTTTTGGTGGGGTGGTGGAGAGCGCATGTCATCTGTGGGTGGCACTGCCCGCTAAGGGCGGGGCCTGCTCCTCTACTCGAAGGTGACCACGTTTAAATTCTGAGACGGGAAGTGGAGGGTGAATAGGTCACGGTGGCCTTAAGTTTAGCTTTTCCTTTCTGCTGTCTAGTCATCCTCATCGGTCTTCTGCTTCTTGGTGTCAACATCATCATCCTGCACAGAAAACAGTTATCAGCCCTGTCACTGCAGGTCAGCTACGTAAAGCAAGACTAGTCCAGAGTTCCAGGCCCCTCCCAATCTTTCAGCAAAGTAAAGCTGGGATGTCCCACTCAGAATCATTGTTGCCCAAACAGAAAGCCAGAACTAGCCTCAAGCTTTTGTACATCAGGCAAAATACCTCACATCCCATACCCCAAAGCTAAGGCCTACCTCATCATCTTCAGCTACCCGCTTGCCCGTAGGAGCCTCAGCTTCCTCATCTTCATCTCCATCCTCTTCCTCACCTGGAGAATGATCAAGAACCACATAAACCATTGTCCAATTACAGCCATCATCACTGCCCTGTCTGTGCAACCTGCCAAAGTGGACAGGCCAGGACAACAGATCAAGTCATTAAATGAGGGAACTGTCCAACAGAAGAGGGGAGTATACTGAACTGATACCCGCTTGCGCCTCCTCCTCTGGTACACTACAGTTGGATGCGGTCCACTTGCCCAGAACCCAATCTCTTCTTACAGCAAAGGCCAAGGAAGAAACCTGAGAAAATAAGACTAGAAGAGGGGAGTATACTCGACTGAAATAAGGCCTTGCCTCCTCCTCTGGTACACTACAGTTGGATGCGGTCCACTTGCCCAGAACCCAATCTCTTCTTACAGCAAAGGCCAAGGAAGAAACCTGAGAAAATAAGACTACTCACCGTCGCCTTCTTCCTCCTCCTCCTCTTCCTCCCCACCTTCTTCCTCTTCTTCATCTACCTCATTGTCAGCCTCCTGCTCCCCATTTTCCTCATTCTGCTTGGCAGAGAAGACACCTGACATTAGCCACCTCCAAAGCAGAAGGATACACATCTAATGCAGCCTGCCCACACCAAGAGAAATGCCCACCCACACCATACAGCTAACCACGCTACCTCCCAAACCTTGAGGTTTGACAAGGATATGCCTGATGCACCATACTGAATTAAGTTGAAATTTAAGAGCAGAAACAGGAGCCCCTAAGCGGGGCGGACACTCACAGCATTTCCATTGGCAGGTGCGTCTCTTCCATTCTCTGTCTCCTCCACAACTTCCTTCTTCTCCTTCAAGTCCTTCAGAAGGAAGAGGAAACCCGTTAGACTTCAGAATAATCGAGGCCAACCAAGGTGCTGAGAATTAGGTGAAGCTGGTCCATGACTAATGTTGGGAGTCACTGGCTACCCTGGGGAAATGTCAGAAGGATGGGTCATAGTAGATAACCAAGGCCTGTAGTCCATCTCCTATGACTTCCATCCTCTAGACAGACTGAATTCAAGTGCCGATTCAAGCTCATCAGCTACCATATGGCACCAGAGACACAAACCCGACAGTCCGGGCAGACAAGCTTGGGAAACTGTCGCCCTCACCTGCACGCCCTTCGCTGCCCGTTTCCAGCTAGAGGGAGCTCCACCCCTCAGAAACCCTTCTTGGAAGGCGGTGGCTGTGTGCCGTGCCATAAATAAATAAGGTAGTGGAGGGAGGAGCCTGTCGATGGTGGGGCGCTCGCTCGGGGATGGATGTGAGAATCCGGATGGGGAACGGGAGGCGCCTCAGCCTGCAGAAGGCCAAGCCTTGGACAAATGGCTCAAAGTCACAGGCGCCCATGTTCGATACTACGGACCTCCCGGTCTCCACAGCCCATGGGAGATAAAAAGCTGGCTCTCTGGAAACTGCAGCTTTGGGGCCACACCGCTGGGTAACTTTTTCCACTCGCATGGCTGACTCGACCGCCCACCCGGGAACGAGCACGAGGCGCGGCTATCGCTCGGCCCAGGCCTGCTTGGGTCACCTGTCGGCGTTGGCGGGTTCGTGCCCACCAGAAGCCTGCCTAGGACCCCAAGGCGCCCACTCCCGCCCCCTGGCGGCCGAAGCCCGGGGGAGTGAGTGGGGGCGGGGTGGCAACGGCGCGCAGGCGCACAACACTCACCCCCTAACTACGCGCTCGAGCCTCGGCACGCACCGCGCGCAAAGAGCACGTGGCCCGGGGCACCGGAGTGCGCCCTGGGCTCAGGAGACCCGAGGTCCGCGCTCGTCT